CCGGGAGGTTCCCGTGGGACGGGCAGCACGGGCAGCAAGGCTCCTGCCCCGGCGCTGCCTGGGGAAGGTAATTTGAACCTGTACTGGTGGGTATCTCGCTCAGTGTTTACAAAGAAAAAGCAAGCACAAAGAACAGGATTGTATTTGTTATTTGTAAGTCAAACCAGCTGTGATCTGAAGGCTGCAGATCCTGCCTCTGAGAAACACCGAACGTCACCGCTGCCTGCAGACACTTTTCTCCTTGCGTCACCGCAGGCTGGGCTTCCTTGGCTCTAACGCCCGGCTGTCCGTTTGCTGGGTTTCACCGGACCCCGGCGGGAGCGCTGCGCGGGGAGCCGGAGGTACCTGCTCCGGGAGCGGCTCCGAGAAAGGAGAGGCTGCCAGGGCCTGTTTGCTGACGAGCTGGGACCCCGAGAGCCCCAGGCTCAGAAAAGCCCGCCTGACTCGGCGCTGACCCTAACCCTGCTCCGGCAGGGATCTCTCCGGGAAAAGCCAGCGATACGTGCTGGCTCCTCGGCCAAGGGTGCCTGGGCGCTCCCGGGCACCCTCTGCAGCCGCTCTCACCGTGGGGTGCTCGCGGTGAAGGTCCTGGGTGCCGCGGGGCTGCGCGGTCCTGCTCCTCTCCCGCCGAGACCCATGGGCGAAGCTGAGATGCCGGAGAGTCACCAAGTCCTCGCTGTTAATGAGCACAGAGTTTTCCAGCCTGACGCGACCAAATACAGAAACTCGGGGCTCGTGGAGGAGACAGAAGGACTTGGAAACAAAGAGTCTTTCAGGCCACCTAATGCAGTATAGATCCAAGAGGACAAATCGAATTTACAGGCATAGCTTAGATTGGGAGATACGCTTGCAAAGCCAATTTGTTTCATTTTATAGGCTTGAAAGATTCTAAGTCAGGGCTCCCTGTATGGTTTGAATTAGGTTTGGATAGTGGTATTCTGGAGAGCTAGATCTGGAGAAGTTTTCACTCACGGTGTTTGTAATCGAGTAGGGGCTATCTAGCATTTCTGCCATGCTTTCAAAGAAAATATTCCAGGTCTGCCCGAAAATGAAGCTTCTGCACAGTTAAGAAAATGATGAATACCTGAAAATGGAGGTCTCTTTGTTGTATTGAATATTTAGGAATAAGATTCCACACGTGTATCAACAGAGAAAGTGGGAATTTCAAAGGGTGCTGCTTTAAAAAGGAAAAAAAAGGAAGCTCTAAGTAGCACGAAAAAATGAATTTTTTTTTCTCTACCAGTTTGTGTCTGTGCTATTAACAAGGTTATCAGTTTTATTGTCTGTGACTGTGCAAAACATAAAAGCTGTAGGGAGCTGCTGTGGAAGCCTGGGGCAGACTGCAGGGTCCGGCGGGGAGAGGCTCCCCCGGCCGGAGGGAGGGCGCAGCCACTTCCCTCTGAAGTTTCCGAGGAACTATGTTTTGGCTGCTCCTGTCTCTGTGCAATGCAGCCACTGTCCGAGAACCAGACCCTCTACCAGTTCATACCACAAAAATACGGCAGGGCAGTGCACGTACCACAGGCTTTTTACTTTCGGCCCTCCTCCCTTACGTTCCTTGCATGTTGGGGTGACTCTCCCAGCTCCGCTGCCATCATGGTTCTGGCACTTCACCGCTCCCGGGGAACGGGGCCGCTGCTCTGGCTGTGCAGCCTGTGGATCGCCAGCGTGCTCCGTCCCACGAGCCGTCCCCATGAGCCGCACGCAGACCTGGTGGTGGCTCACGGTCGTTTGGTTCCCACCATCTCCCCCGAGTCCCTCTGAGCCGCGGCAGCATTCCCTCCTCCTATTGCCTGTGAGGAAGGACAGCCCCAGAGCATTCGTGAGCAGCCACGGTGTTTTGGTGGTGGTCTGAACATGGGCTTGGAGCCGGCGGGTCCGTGTCCTGAGAGCATCAGGCCTGGCTCAGGCGAACCCACTGAGATGCTCCCCGCGCCCTTCCCCGAGCCAGGACCGCCTGCACGCTCCATCTCATGCCGCTCGGCTGCGGGACTCGAATCATAGAATCATAGAATCATAAAGGTTGGAAAAGACCCTTAAGATCATCGAGTCCAACCGTTAACCCAGCACTGCCAAGCCCACCACTAAACCACGTCCTCGAGCACCATGGCTACCCGGCTTTTAAATCCCCCCAGGGATGGGGACTCAACCACTGCCCTGGGCAGCCCAGCATCTTCCTCCTGGGCTGGTGGGAAGCCATTGCAGCCTTTCTCCAATGCGAGGAGCCACCGTGGCTCCCAAGCCTGTGAGCTCTGGGATGCATTTTGTGCCCTGCAAGCCGAAAGCAGCAAGGAGACCATTTCAGCCGAGGGATTAGCTCCTGGCTCCCACCGCTGAGCTCAGCTGCTAGAAAAGTTCCCCGGGAAGTAGCACAATCTTTGTTTGGTCATTAAAGCAGAAAAAGAGAGAGGGAATCTTAGGAAATGCTTGAAACGATTAGGTGATCTTAACTCTAAGGAGCTAAACAAATGCAAAGCAATTCCCCCCCCAGCCCCTCGTGCTGCTGTAGAATGTAATCTCATTTCTAAACACACAATTACAGAAAATAAAAAGAAAAGAAAAGAATAATTAATTTCTGCTTCCTCATGCAAATCCTCTGACCAATCATTTAGGGATCAGGGGCAATTCAGCTTCTTGTGCAAATTCCAAACTGAAGGCCTGAAAAAAGCAAGTGAATGGATTTACTTTTCTAAGAACCAGAATTAACAAAGGTTCCATTTTCCATGGTTATGTGCCTGGCCAGACAGCCCTTGCTGACAAGCTCTCAAAAAACATGTGTTGGCCTGTTGAAAAGGCCCCAGTGTTGACTGACAGACAATTGAAGTGACAAATTGTTTCATTGTACTTGGCAGGGAGAGCGCTGTATTAGATAATTATGGCGAGGAGGGAAGCGACAGGTCACAGGTCAGAAGACACGTCTGACCCTGTTTTCTGAAAGCCCTGAAAGGAGCCCGCGCCCAGGAGAGCAGCGTGACGCTGCCGGCGGTTTCTCTTTCCGTTGTGATGATTAAGAGCTAACGAAGATGGAGCGGGGACGGGCTTGCTCCCTGCTCACCCCGCTCCTGGCTCCTGGGAATCGGGTGCCGGGGTTCGGCAGCGGCTCGGTGCCGTGTGCTGGCGCGCGGTCCCGCGAGGGCGAGCTCTCCCACGGCGCCCGCTGCCCCTCGCCGGCTCCAGTGGCGCCCCAGGCATCGCCCCGCTGCCCTTG